GGCCGAGGGAGGCCGCGCGAGACGGGGCGCGAGAGAGAGAGAGAGAGAGAGAGAGAGAGAGAGAGAGAGAGAGAGAGAGAGAGAGAGAGAGAGAGAGAAATTGGAGGGATTAAAATCCATAACCTGAGTTCCTTATATAAAATGGCTTTCACATCCACCATTATACTTTAAGTCCTTTCTGGTCCTATCAATAATACCTAACTAAATGTAAACTCTATAAAAATAATCATCATGTTTATTATATTTAAGAAAGTAGCTGATAAGAACAGTTTTTTGTTTTGCTTTGTTTTGTTTTCTCTGAGACAGGGTTTCTCTGTGTAACAGCTGTCTTGGAACTAGCTCTGTAGACCAGGCTGGCCTCTGCCTCCAGAGTGCTGGGATTAAAGGCGTGTGCCACCGCAACCTGGCCGATAAGAACAGTTTGTATATGTTCAATACAGATACCTTTTTTCTAAATACTTTTTATCATTGGTTGGTTTGATCTAAATGCAGAATCCTCAGATCCAGTTCAACTGTGTCCACAACCCCATCCATCCTATACAATCCCCTCATCCTGCAGAATATCAAAAAGGAACTCTAGATCTAGTAAACATCATAATGAGTGAGGTAACCCAGATCCAGAAAGACAAATATCATGTGTACTCACTCATAAGTGGCTTTTAGAAATGAAGCAAAGAAAAACCAGCCACAACTCACAACCCCCAGAGAACCTAAGAGGACCCTAAGAGAGACATACATGGATCTAATCTACATGGGAAGTAGAAAAAGACAAGATCTCCTGAGTAAATTGGGAGCATGGAGACCATGAGAGAGGAAGGGAGGGGAAAGGAGAAAAATATATAGCTTAATAAAAACAATAAAAAATATTTAAAAAAAAAATTTTAAAGAGGAATGTTACACACCAAAACCAATCACTTAGCATTTCACAGTTCTCCAAGCCCTGGCAATCAATCATTATTTCATACCTTCTCTCTGCCTATTCTGGACTTTTCATATACATGGAATTAAATGTGACCTTTTAGGTGAAAGATTAACAGCAGAGGGTGTCAAACTT